CCAGACCGGGGCACGAACCCGTGTCCCCTGCATCCGCAGGCGGACTCTCAACCACTGCGCCACCAGGGAAGCCCTCAAGTGTGATTTTGAAGGCACTGTTCTTTCCATAGTGATTAAGTAGCATTGTCTCCTCCGCAGTCTCCCTGCTTCCACCTTTGCCCCCCCCCCACCAATCCATTCCCCATTCGGCAGCCGGAACGAGCTTTTCTAAATGTATATTGGCTCACATTATTCATCTGCTCGAAATGCTCCAGAGAGGTTTCCCATCGCACTCAGAATAAAGTCCAAACGCTTCACCATGAATCCAGCTTCATGACCTCTCTGAGCTCATCTCTTCTCTCCTCTGTTCACTCAGTTTCAGCCCCACTGGCCTCCTTGCTGTTCTCTAAACAGGTCAGGCTTTATCCTAACTCAGAACCTTTGCACTTGCTCTTCCTGCCGCCTAGAATTCTCTTCCCTATATTGTCCCATGGCTGGCCACTCCTTCTCATTCCTCATAGGAGCTGTCCCTGCTCAGATGTCCCCTCCTCTGAGAGACCTTTCCTGACCCCTGTTTAAAACAGCCTCCCTCCCCTTACACTCTGTCACATCTTGCAGTGTCTTTCCTGCATAGGGTTTAAGCACCCTCTGAAATTATACTTGCTTCCTTGTGTTTCTCCGTTTCTCCCCCACAAGAGTATGAACGTCAAGAGTGGTATTCACCGCCCTGTTTCCAGCACCCAGCGTGGTGCCTGGCACAGAGGATCTCCAGATAACTACACGTGGAATGAACGAATGGAGCAGGCAGTCAGTCAGTCACTGTGTCTCAGGGTCTGGGAATCTGTCATTCCTTCCTCCCAGCCCACCTGCAGCCCAGTTCTCTGTGCCTCTGGCCTCCTTCAATCATTTGTTCTTCGCCCTCCCCACCCCCATCCAGCCCCCCAACTTGGATGCTTTGCTTGTCAGAACAGCAAGGCCTGTAGAAATTTCTCAGAGGTCACAGAATAAGAAGTCAAGTGGAGGATCATTGCTGGGTGATTGTGAGATACAGAAATGACCATACCTCATATTAAGGGGTTCCAAGCCCATGTTCACCCCCTCCCCAGTTTCTGGCCTTAGGCAAGTTCTTCACCTCTCTAAGCTCTAGCCTCCCACCAGCTAGCCTCCTAAAGTATAGATAAAAGGCCCACCTTGCAGGGTCATCATGAAATCATGTTTGTCAAAATTTAGTACAGTGCCTAACCCACGGTACATAGGGCTTATTGTTATAAATAATAGGGAGCAGAGTCCTTTCTCTATGGCTGGGTGGGCTGAGTCTGCAGCAAGGCCTTTCCTTCTGATAGCAGTATTGGAAGACAAAGCTGCCAGTGTTAATAATTGATGGATGTTCTGGCAACACAGAGACAAACCAAAGCACAGGCCCTCGTCTTCCCCGTCAGGGGAGTGAAAATCAAAATCCATTAGGCAAAAGGCAGTGTGGTTGATTCTTGTTTGGAAGCTGGGGTCAGCTTCATCAGAGTGACATGATTGCAGTGCTGGGCCACCACTGAGTTTCTGCTTTCTGAGAAAACTACAGGCTTTTCTCAGTAGGAGAGACGGGGAACTAATTTGCCAGGCCAGGAGTGTCTGTGGTCTCTGGAAAAGTCTCAGAGTTAAAGCCTGAGATAATTTCCAGAGTAGCTGCTGTTTATTGTGCCAGGCACTGATTAGTGATACTTTATATGCACTATCTCATTGAAATCCCTTCAACCATTCAATCAAGGTAATCTGCCAGTTTGGGCTACAAGGCACAGATAGAAACCTGGAAGTGGCTTCTGAAAGGAGGAAGATGCATCTTCTCACTTAACGGAAAGTTCCACCTAGCTGGTTTTGTGTTAATGGTTCCATGATGCCATTAGGACTCTAGATTCTGTCCTTCTGCTCCTCCAACTCCTGCAGGTGGCTTGGTCCTCAGGCTGGATGCCTCATCTCACAAAATGGCTACCTAGTTCCAGCCTTCAAATGTAGACACATGATATCTGACCAGTGAAGGAGAGCGTGCCCTCTTACGTGCCACTTTCTTTTTTCTGCAAGGCAAACCTTTCCCAGCAGCCCCCTGGCAGACTTCTTTTTAAATCCCATTGGCTGGCATCAGGTCACATGCTCATGCTCTATCTGCAGGGAAGCTTGGAAAAGCGTGTCTGGCATTTTCAGATGAGGGAGGGAATGGATTTGATGAGTGGTATTAATATTCTTTTATAAAGAGGAAATGGAAGCTCTGAGAGGGGCAGTCACTTGCCAGAGCTCACACAGCTAAGTGCTCAGTCAATATTTGTTGAAGGAATGAAAATAGCAGAGCAAGGGTTTGAACCCAGGTTGGTCTGGTTCCCAAACCTGTGCTTTTTCAATCTGGAATCTTGGACAGCTCATTCAAGCTCTCTGAGCTTCAGTGAGCTCATCTGCCAAATGGTGATGGTATAAGTGCCTACCTCTTGGGACTGTTTTGATGATTCAGTGAGATTTCAGATGGTGAATGTAATTTGCAAATGGAAAGTACTTTATACATATGAATTATTATTATTATATTCCAGTGTGAGAGTACTCTTTATTTAGAGACTTTGGTCAGTACTTTGCCCACCACAGAATTAAAAATCAGCTCTGGGGACTTCCCTGGTGGTCCAAGTGCATAAGACTCTGTGCTCCCAATGCAGGGGGCCTGGTTTCAATCCCTGGTCAGGGAAATAGATCTTGCATGCATGCCTCAACTAAGAGTTCGCAT